AATTTTTTTATATATTAATGAGATGGATTAATTAATTAATCTCTTTAATCCAAATTTAATTAATTACATGTTTTTATGCAATAAAGAGTGGATTAATTATCTAAGATAGAATAACTCATAATTTTCGGCCCTTCCATACACCTAGCCTTGAGTAATATATCCAAGTCACATAATGTTTCATTAAAAAATGAATGAAGAATCCTAAGCCTCCTCAAGTTTCCCCTTGACCAAGCAAAACAAGGAGTCTTCTGCACCAATTCAAATTCATTCCAATGTACATCATCACATATGTATGTATATCTATATGTACGTAACCTATCAGCTCTCTTCTCTCCCACAAACAAAACTCACGCATATCACACAAACCACACCTCACGATTTTCTCCCCGCAACATTCATCTCCCCGCAGCGAACTCTCGTCCGAACACCATCTTCCCCGAGAATCCGCGAGCAAGCAGCCACGGAGACGAGAAGCAGACGTTCGCAAGGTAGCAACCCCTGTTCGAGAGTTCCCGCACGTCCACGAGCCCAAATTCGTCCCCGCAGTACCACACGAAGAAGCCGACGCCTATCGTAAGCACGCCGAGAGTCCCCGAGAGCTACTCTTTTCAGCCGTTTTCATTATTCTTTTCCCGAGCACGGTAAACCAATCATTTTTCCTCCTATGGGCTGATATTTTGAGTTCGAATAATGAAGAATAATCAAGAACTAAAATATTTATATATATGGCTTATTGAATTCAAGGAAAAAGAGAGTTCAAGTTCAATCTTGGTTTAAGTTATTTATCAAGTCGTTTTTAAATGAGTTTAAAATCAGGATGGTCGAGTCTCTTACGCTTGCTTAGGGTGTAGGATAAACCATGAATTAGGATCGAGTTCATATGCTTTTAAATTCTATTGAAAAAGAGAAGAAATTCCGAGTTGTGTATATGTTATCGTTGATCCGTGCGTGTGCGTATCTTATGTGAATTAAATGCTGGAATTGATGCTATATTTTTCATGTTTAGAATGTGAAAATCGACATTAGTCGTGCGGTCTAAGTTGCTTTTAATATGTTATGAAGTTCGGAAAATATTGTCATGATCGCATGTGATTTTGCTGTTTTCTGCTGTCTGTTCATGGGCTGTTTAGACCTCTGAGATCTCGTTTTCTGCTTCTGCGTTCATCATATGAATTGTAGATGGAATTGTTAAATTTCTGTGGGCACTGGAATCACTTGAATATCTATTTTGTGTAAAACGTTATGGCCAGTTAAAAATCAGAGGGCAAGCAGTTTTCTGTAGTTTCTGACATCACGTATGTATTAATGTTTGATCAGTTTACTGTATTTTGTTGTGCTCAATCGAACTTAAGGTCTTCATTGAAGTTGTAGCTTTATATGTTAGCTTTCATTTGGTTCAGGAATCGTGTAAACATATGTACTGAGTGGTGAATTGTACTCGTTTTAGTAAAACCGTGCATGAATTAGTTTTAATTTCTTGACAACATCTATGTTTCAAATGTTAGCTGGTTTTTCACCATTTGTTTGACCTTTTCTGCTTTCGAGTTCTAAATAAAAGTTGTAGCAGCATGTCTTAGAATCTATTTGGGACTTGAATCATGTTAATACGACTTATGTGATGAAAGATATGCATGTTTTAAAAATGCTGCGCGTGACAGATTTTATCGAGTTCCAAGAATGATTTCATAAGTGAGTTTTACCCTTATTGTGCATGCTAAGGTGACATGTATGAGCTGTATAGTATAGTGTGAGATCATGATTAACTTTAGATAATTAGAATGGTGTCCTTAGGCAATCTAAGAGTTCAATTTGTCTAAATATTTTAAGCGAGAATGACTGCAAAAAGAATGCAAGCAAGGCGAAGCCAAGCGAGCAAAGTTTTTCCAAAGATTATGTACTATTATAAGTATAAAAGTGCTATGGTAAGACACTAAGACATGACCCAATGAATGTAGTTTTATGAGAAGTCGAGCCCTCGAGTTTTCTTTCAAGTCAAGCCTAGTCGAGCAAATCTACTGAAAAGATGGGGGAAGTTTTATGTTATTTATCCTTCTTGATTATCTATGTTTTGAATGAAGTTAAGTAGCTTGCATAGTACCCATGTTTATACAATGTTCCAACATTCGAGCAAGTCGTTTGTTGCAGTACCAAGGTTCACGGACTATAACTCTAGAGGGTGGCTAGGTGCTAGGGTTAGAGGGTGTATGTGATTATATGTAACCTTCGTTGGTGCACACTTCGAACAGTTGTCCCCGTCGATAAGACTGTACGGAGCCAAATGAAAGGTTGTCTTCCTTCAACCTAATGAAAGGTACTCTCATCAAGCCTAATTGGTCGTGTCATCTGCGAGAGGCATTGTTCTTCCACCACTATAAAGTGGTATAAGAAGTTTGATGAGTGGTGGGAGTGTGACAAGAATGTAATCGTCTGCATGCAAAGACTCTAGTGTTTAGTTATCTAATAGGGTTGTAGAAGCAAGAAAGTCTTTCGACTTGTGGGAAACCGCTCGTCGGGAGCTCATGATTACGTTGAGTATACCTAATGATTTCATGCATGATAGTTGGTTAGGATGGTAACTTAGAAGGATCTCTCACGGAGTAAGTGGAAATGCTCACCCCTTTTGTTTTCCACACCCAGGTTTTTGGCGAGCTGAAAATGGAGCGATGGCGAGGGTGGTCAATTGTTTATATGTTTAAATGCTTCCGCTGAGTAAAGATTATTTTTATGTAGTAAGTCGAGGTTCATGAAAGACAAGTTAATGTGTAAGTCCTTGAGGCAACACCATGAAATGTGTTATGAGAGGTTCATGTATTTATATATGTATGTAATGTTTTCAAGGTAGTAGCGCCCTAAGTTCAAGTAAAGTTGCAAATGTTTTATGAAAGAAAAAAAAAAATTATTCTAGACATTCAAGTTATGAAAAGTGGGGCGTTACATCGCAACTCACACATCCAAGTCTGGACTTAGGCTGGGTATCGGGCCCACACATCCAAGTCATAACTAGAGTTCTTGACCAAGACGGGATAACTCCTCCATCTCCGTCCATCAATCTACTTACACACATACCTCAGACAGTATAAGCAATTAAAAGCAATGAGGTACACTGTAAAGGGTCCCCACCTGGATGCTGGCGAATGCAAATGTTGTACTATCGGTGCAGCATGTGGAGGCTCGACTCTCCTGAAGCTATAAAATATTTGAGCGAAATATTCTAAGTACTTTGCTCAATGTGAAAACTCGAATTTTTATTTTCTAATCTTACTAGTTCGCTCGCTGGTTTAAAATTATTTAAAAATCATTATGGTACTTTACGAGCTGATTTTGAAAATATTTGTCTTTGAGGCATACCAGAGTTCTCGGAAATATTTCTAAATGTGAGACTACATTGTGAGTGGATCTAATTTGACTGGGTTCAAAAGAATACTGCACTCTCAGTTCACGGTCAACCGATATTTCGAACTGAACTACCAAACCGTCCGGACTGCCCGCACTGATTCGACTGAACTGGAGTTCTTCGAACTGTCCGGTCTGCCTGGACTGGTTCGACTGAGCTGGATCGGCGGCGCACTCAGAATCGGCCGGTTACTTACTTGACTGTGTGCAGCTCGACTTAATTGTGGTCTAGGTTCGGCGTGGCAACTTGGGGCCTACACGAACACAGTTGACACGACTTGGCCGATGCACTAGTTTAAGACGGTGCCACGATAACTGGCGTTCTTGGACTACGGCTAACGAAAAATGACGCATTGACGGTAGGTTGGATGGACGCACCGGCGTTGGGCAGAGCGCAGGGGCGCGATTTGGTCGGACTCGGTGCACGGGCATGCAGTCGGTTGTTTGGCTCCAACAATCGGACGAGAGTGGGACACATATGCGGGACGACGATACACGTTGATGGTACGTGCTATTGCACGTCGGTTGGTTAATTCAGCTTGCTACGAGGCACACGACCTCGGTAGCCTTCCTAGGCTCGGTTATGGTCCCGTCATCAACAAGTCGACCGACCGACCGACCACATCCCAACACGCATGGATTCATTTATAATCCTACGACGTCTAAAGTTATTTATACAGTACTAGGGTTCGAGCAATTACACTCGAATCTAAAAATTACCCGTTTATCGGAACTGGATAAAACTAAGGTTTTAGTTCTCCGACTAAACTAACCATATTAAGCCGAAACTTTAACTCTAAGATAAAATTTATAACATATTTACATCAACCAATTTCAGCTAAATCACAACCGAAAACATTTCTTAAAATACCGCAAAATGAGGCTAATGTCCCAAATTTTTAACTATTACAAACGATCTCCAAATATTACGAAATTTAATCCACTACAACACCAACATATATGTAATTCATAGTAAAAGTTCCACGGATAGAATCAGCTCCTATCCTAGTTAATAAAAAATCGAGCATTTTTGGTCAAAATTTATAAATCCAGTTCGACTATCAAACGGACTCCAAAATTTACCAAATTTTGACCTACACCTCAAACATCTTTTTTTTTTTCCAAACGATAATTTTACTCAAATAAATAGAAAGTTTACAACCGGATGGCCAACTAGCCATAATACAACCCAGAGAACCACACCCTACTGGTGGCCTAGAACAAGAGCAACAAACACAACAGGCATAACCAAGGTTAGACAACTTGTGCACTAAAAAGAAAACAACGTAAACTAAGAAACCAACAACAACAGAAATCCAAGCCACTGAACCGTACCGGACCTAGCTATGGACAATACAGACTACTAACTACCAACAAAGCAAAGGGAAACAGAAAAGAAAAAACAGAAGAAAACAAGATTAAAAATAGGAATTTTCCAATTAGAATCATAATTTTTGGATCACCTCACAATATATTATAAATTTTTAGCCATTTAAATCAATAAATCCATATAAAATCATATTTACTCAATTTTCTGCAGAAACATTTGTAAAACAAATTAACATTCACATCTAAGCTCATGGAGTTGGAGATTCGGCTAATATACATCAGCAAGGACTAAAAAAAAAAATCAAAAGTCGATGGGCTGATGAAAATGAGATGTGCGGGCTGCTCGGCTGGATCTGGTGCTGGGCTCGGGAGTCTGCTCGTGTACGGACGTTAGGCTGCTGAGGACAAGGCGTACGGACGCGATCTCGCTGGGACGGCATACGGACATCGAGCTCGGGCCCTAGGGTAGATGGGACGCGCACGTACGGACACTTGGGAGCTGCTGACGGGCCGATGGACGCGCGTCTGGGCAGAGGACGAGCTGCTGGCGCGCACCTGGGACTGGCTCGAGATGGCCGCGGCTGGGACGTCCAAGGCGCGCATGGGGGCTGCTGCGGCTCGAGAGGTGCGAATTCGGGCGTGGCTAGGGCTCTTGTCGGCGGGTTCGACGGAGGCTCGACGGAAAAGTGAAGCTTGGCCGGAATTTTTGTGATGGTGGCTATGGAGAATGATTTTTGTGCTCTTGAACTAGGGTTTTGTAGATGAAGATGAAGAAGATGAAGTTGGGAGAATGGAAAATGATGTGAATTAGGGTTTGAGTAGAAGAATGGGCTTAACATTGGGCTTTCAATGTTGAGCTTGGTATATAATTGGCTTGGGCTCGATTATTAAAATGCTACTCGGGCTTTACCTGAACTTGGATTCGGCTTTAAATTTTAAATGTTCAGGCCAAGTAGAAATTTATTGGACTAAAATAATTGATCGGGCCGAATAGGCAAAATAATTGGTGGGCTCCATTTATAAGATAAAATCGAACATGGACTCGATTTAATAAGATGGGCTGAAATAAAATCGAACATAGACTCGATTAAATGGGTATACTCGCTTGGGCCAAATAAAATGGCTCGAGTATTGGGCCGATGCTCGTCTTGTCTCGTCCGGACTTTGTACCGACTTTAATAGAAATTTCGATTATTCCAAGACTCAATTTTTTCTTCAAAATAAAACTGACACTTAGGCTAAATAAATTTAATTTTAAAGTTAAAAATCGAATAAATCCTCCATGATTTAGACTTAAAATTCTAATACTCGATTTAATGCAAGTAATACTAGATAAACGCATCAAATAAGGAAACTTGTTATTTATGAAAATAAAGTTCCCTCGTCTGGTCGAGCTCTCTAATGAACTCGATCCTTTACCTTGTAATCAAAATTGACTCGTACCTCAAGCTACAATAACGGCCCCTCAGTGAGTCAAATCCTGCTACCGAGCTAAGGCTGTCTTGGACCGGTTAATCGAATTAACAACTCTAACCCGACCACTAAGCTTATTATAGATGCTATATCACAAAATACAGTCAAGTAATAAATACAATCATATCGAATTATACCAACTCAAGGAGTCATATGGTATTGTACGTCAAGTGCAATACTTCATTATTTTTCTCTCCTTGTTATAATAATAGAAAATATATTTGCAATTATATAAATACACGTCCCAAACATAAAAACATCATCACATGTTGTGTCAACGCATAATGCCATACAATCAAAAATTACAGACCATTCAAGCATGTCATGGTATAAACTCGGTCTGTTTTCCTTATGCAATAGAAGACATGTTCCTCAAGATCTGACATGTATTTAGCGAAAATAAGCAGATGCAGAAATCACAAAATATTATACCAGAGGCACGTCGAACTGGAACTCGAGAAAAACAAATTAGCCCACAAGATCACAAATGGGGATAACACGAATCCGACCAATAGATGATTCCCTTAGGCAAATGCTACATCCGATCGCAAGACATACTTGATGCCCTTACTTACGATTCGTGCCTCATGCAACATGCACTTAGCCCCGTGAATATGAAGTAGAGCCATTCCTTCTTTGGGAGGTACCTACACAATTTTGGTATGTCAGTCTAGTAAGCAATAAGATTTCAAGATTGTTAAGGAGATCAAAATTGTCATTTGTGCAAGATACATTTGGATCAGAAGAAACCGTGTTTTGATCAATTAAGTGGTCAACAAGAACTTGGATGTTAGAATATGTCAGATATGTGAGGGCTTGTCATCAAGGAATAAAAGATTGTAAAATTTAGGGCTACTCGCAACCTAATAACATTGCTATTACAATTTTTTTTGGTACTCAGAATACATCTCTGAAGACGACACTAAAATAAACAATGAAATCTGTCATCGTTTTTTCTTCACCAAAAGCTGACAATGGTTAATATACTATTATTGTGTTTATTGAACTGTTATCAATAAATCATATTTGTGCATTGGATAAATGCTTAAAAGAGACAATGGTGTGAACAACCTAATCAAGAGAGAAAGAGACTTATGCTACCTCAGCAACTAGAGAGTTTCTTGGGCCATAGAAAACAGTCTCTCCTCCAACTAATGTTTCCAAAGAATCTTGAGAAGTCTCGGTGTTTTTAGACTTGGCTTTCATTTTGCCAGCAGCACCGCTTAGATAGATTAACAAAGTATAATGAGTGTGCCTTCCTTCTCCAAGATCAGCGCTTTCGTCAATGTGTCTCCCAAAACGCTGACCAGCACTGTACCTGAAAAGGGTCAACCGAAACCTGGATAACATTTCTTCATACGGAGCACAACGAAATGGTGCACAGATAGTTCATCATAACATATTTTATCAAATGAGACGGGTACACTCAAATTCAATGCATCCGTACCTAAAAGAACCAAGAGAGATTCTTTGCATAAAATAATTCTGCGTAAAGAAGAAAAAGTAGTTGGTAACCAAGAATTTACTGGTGTTTACAAAGGTAAGAAGAAACAAGCTGAATTACTAGCGATTGGATGTAATTTCAAACACTTTCGTTCATATTGTTGATGAGATGAGATTGAAAGTTACTGGAGAAAATAAAAAGTGTGGTTGATTGTAAGATGGAGATGTAAGAATATAAATCAATTTGAGTATAGTAGTAAGGTTTACAGAGAAATGTGTGGTAATGATTGGCTTTTATTTTAAAATTGTATTAATTAAGGTGAGAAAAAGTGAGATGTGTGAATAGTGTATTTTTTGTTTGGTTCATATATTTTATTTATTTAATTTTTTTTTTGGGTTTAATGCCCAATTGCACTCTAAAGACTTAAGAGGGGGCTTTTGGTGGCTAACTTGTAAATGCTTATTCATTGCAAAGGTCAAACAAGAAGCATAAATGGAAACCAAAAGCACCTATCCAGTCTTTTTTATGTTCTGATTATCCTATGTAAATAAAGAATCAGAAAAACAGGCATCAAGAAACAATAAAATTTATATATAATATGTATTTTTCCACCCTATTCTTAGGTGAAAAGTCGACAGAATACTTCCTATAGCAGCAGTCAGATTTGCTTTAAATCATACATGATGTACCCGTGAGCAGATTCGGCAAAATTTCAGTAAATATGGTGTAATACTAAATTACAAATCCCACTAAACAATATTAATACCACAATCACACGACCCTATTACCACTTACCGATAAAACCTTATGTTTGGATTCAAACCGACAGCAACTTTGCCTCGGATCTTGAAATCTGAAAAAAAATTGTTAAGCCCAGCTTCCCATATTGCTTCTGCGAGAATCGGATCATTCACAGATATCCGGTCATTATCTCTAAAAGCTTCACCCATTGTAGGACCAAGACTACCTTGGTGAACAAAACCAATCAACTCTGCCGCATTTATGAATGCTTTTGATTCAGCCGATGTCAGATAGTTTGGAATCTGAATACCTTAAGCCAAAGTATGGGAGCAACACAATGTTACCACTGTCAGTCAAGTTCGAAAGAGCCAACATGAAAAAGAGATATGACAAACTTTGATTATCACCTGAAGCTGATGAATGACCACTAAAATGTAAAATAACGATATATGAACAAAAGCCTAAAATGCAATTTCGGCCCTATTAGATTATAACGGTTCAATTTAAGTTCCACTAGAGTGTATAACAATTTAAATCCTGTAATATAATACTTTGCTACAATTTTAGTCCTCTGACTATTAAGATTTCCAATTTCTGGACCGAAATTGCAACAAATTTTACATTACAGGACTTAAATTGCTAATCAAAATCCATCCCAAATATATAAATTGGGAAATTTGAGGGCCAAATAACTGAATTGCAACAAAAATTTAAGTTGCAAGACTTAAAATGCTGTATGCCGCTCCAGTGGAACCTAAATTGCTACCTTCATAATCTAATAGGACCAAAACTGTAACGTAGCCATGAACAAAAGTAAAGGAACCAAAGTAATTTTAACATGGAATTGATTTCTTACAAGGGCGCTCAATTTAAGACATTAGAACCACACAACAAATATTTGGCATAATCATCAGAACTCCTACATGCCCGTAAAGCAAAACAAATTAACTACAATGAGAAAACGGAAAATGCAAAAACTAACCACGGTCAATGATGAACAGCAAAATATGTTTATAAATATTTGAAAATTAACAAAGAAAAGAAAATGAAAGAAAGCATACAGTAATCAAATCGTCTTCTTTGAGGCGATTGATTTGAAGATTGGACTTAGGTTTAATTGATGGCCACTCCAATTTTGGTTTCTTGTTTGCTGATCTTTTCCTGTCCCCCATTTTTCTCTTCATTCTCTTGTGTTGTTGTGACGATGATTCTATATGTTGTAATGGAGGAAAAACTAATGGGCCTGTAGTGGAACGGGCCTCATTTGGATACTACTATATGTCCCTTTTGATGTTATTGGTTTATCGGTTCTGGCCTTAATACAGCCAATCTTGTACAGTAATTGCAATTTTATGGTTAGAAAGTTTTACTTGCAACAAAACGATGATGACAAGAAATATTATATATTATATATATAGGGATGTGCTCTGGTGAGAATAGTCTTCAATGAAAGAAATAAGAATACATTACAACCATTAGATTAGATAATCAAACGGTTAAAAAAAATGTCAATTTTTCACAACCAGTAAGGGTAAACTAGGCATTGCATAATCC